TTGATCAAGGTTCCCGCCTTTACTTGTCCGCTGTACGTCAATTACGATTGCTTTTTCTCCACTGCCTGTCATGCGTTTACTTAATTGCTGATTTAATTGCTTCCGTTCCTCCGGATATCCAAGAACCTGGCTTCGTTTGTCAGATGTCCGCTCGTCGTATAACTTATTTTCCCATGCTAACTCATACCGATGACCCGTGCGCGCCGCGTGTGTGTATGTCACTAGTCAATAAACAGTCCAAGCTACCTCGTTAAATTAAGTAGCAATGTAAACGCCTTGACATATTTTCGACGAAAGTAACGCGCGTGCAATAGTCGCTCTGGTGGTAATCGTCAGCTCTGGAATCAAATAACACGCAAAATAATCAAAACAAGATGTTGTCACCGCCCGCAGCTTCTTCTTCGCGACAATGGGCCACATTCGTAATATAACACACATTATCATGAATCGATGGTTAGGTGCATTTTTTTTCTCACTGACTAGCTACCTCGCACATACGCGGACAGTGGGAAAATTGGCAGATAAAAGACGCCTAATTGCCTTTAGTGTAGACCGCAGCTGTATATTTAAGTCAGTTTGTTGTCTATATTTCTGCTTCCTTTGGAGTAATGAACTCTATGGTTGAATATGGAGTTCCAATAAATCGTAATCTCATGCAGTGGCCTATCGGCGAGCAGGCAAAGAGATTAAAGCAGCCTTAGTGAACTTCGGGACTTGAATCTCAACCTCAAATCGTGGACTCTTGCTGTCGTACATGCTTTATTGGCGTCTTTCAGATTCAAGACCAAACTATGACCCTTCAAGTTGGAGAATGTTTTGCAGTTGGCAATCTTTGCGTTCCTCACCGAATTCTGCAAGATTCTGATGGAAAAAAAGTTATACAGCGCAAGTTATGTGACGAACAGCAGTTGAAAGCTCGCAGTCCAATACGAATCGCCTAAGGTTGTGTCGAACTAAAGCGAAGAGATTGCCTAATTCGGAGCGCCAGTCGCAAAGTGACTGCAGTGAGGACCAAAGTGAGGGTGCGTCATCCCACTAGTCACTTATGTGACGCGTCCAGATAAGCACACACACACGTGATAGTTTGAAGGACGCATCTAACGATGTCCGCCGTATGCCCCACGGCAGAGGTTTGAGCAGGGACGGTGACTTACGTAGGGGTTTATAGTGCCATTAGACTTCCACAGCATCTACCTAAAGTCTCTACACCTTGCAACCCTGAGTCCGGCGTCAAGACAGAGTCAAGAAGATAGGAGACGAGGGAGGACACAGATGGATGGCTCGGACGGATCCTCGCCTTGGCGTTCCACCACACCCCCTGGTCCACACAACAATAACCAGGATTTCAACCAACACAACAGAGATTTGGAGGCTGGCACGGCCGAAGCCGCACCTAGGCGTGCCGCCAACGACTGGCTCGGATTCCACACTGTAATGGGAGTGCCATAAAGGCCATGTTAAAAATAAACCATTGCAGCCTGACTCTCAGATCGCCTCCAGTCAAGGAGGAAGTCCAAGTTACCCCGTCAGTTGGCAACCTTCCAAGCCACGGTTTTTAGCGCACCGTGATAGCTTTGAGCGCGTCAGATTGTTTATAGTGAGGACAAAGTGCGCTGAGCCGTCGATCTCACTCTCCCTTCCCATTTCCACACACCAGCCACCGTCCGAGCCGGTCAGTAGACTGGAGTAGGGAATGGGCACGGTGGCTGACACGGTCGACTGACCATGCCTGTGCGCGCCACAGCACGACCTGGCCCCCATACACACACAAACACCAGGATCTTCCACAGTCCTTCACGATTCACCGTGTCGAAGGCTTTCGTCAGGTCCACGAAGGTAGAGTACAGGTGGGTCCGCATCTCCTGGCTCTTCTCATAAAGTTGACGAGCGGCGAAGATCATGTCTGTGGTCACGCGATGACAACGGAAGCCGCATTGGCTTTCCGGTAGAAGCCCCTGTTCCGAATGATTATTCAGACGATTGAGGAGGATGCGAGCGAAGATCTTCCTGGCGATGTTCAGCAAGGAGATGCCGCGGTGATTGTCGCAGACTTGACGATTCCCTTTTCGCTTGTATAAGTGCACGATTGCTGCGTCTTTGACATCTTGCGGGACTTCGCCTTGACGCCACATCTCCTGGAAGAGCGCAGTCAGGTGATGCATTAGTTGAAGACCCCCGTGCTTGTAGACCTCAGCAGGGATCGCGTCCGATCCGGGTGCTTTCCCGCTGGAGAGCTGCTGCACGGCCCTGATGGTTTCCTGGAGAGAGGGCGGGAGGTCGAAGTCCACGTTGGTCTCCACTTGCGGCAAACGCTCGATGGCGACGTCCGAGATGGCGGAGGGGCGGTTGAGGACGCCTCGGAAATGCTCGGCCCATCGCTGCAGGATTTGTGTCTTCTCAGTCAGGAGAGTATTGCAGTCGGCGCTGAGGAGAGGAGCAGTGCCTTTCGTCGGCGGACCGTAGACAGATTTGATTGCAGAGAAAAAGTTATTCCATTCGTTGTGGTCCGCGTAGCCCTGTATCTCCTCAGCTTTGCGGGCAGTCCAGGCGTCCTTCATCTCGCGCACTCGTTGCTGAAGCTGGCGACGACTGCGGTAGAAGGCAGCTTTGTTGTCCTCAGTGGGGTGATCTACGTAGGCTTTGTGTAGGCGGTTCTTCTCAGCAAGCTGATTTCTGATGGCGGCGTCGTTGTCGTCGAACCAGTCCTGGTGTTGACGGGGAGCGCGACCGAGGACGGCCAGCGCCGTCGCCTGGACCGTGTCTCGCAGTTGAAACCTGCGGTTCTCCACGGAGGCGTTCTCGGCAGCGGCGGCGTCGGCAGCGATTGGAAGGTTGTCTAGCCGTTGAGCTAGCTCATTGCTGAAATGAAGATGGTGAGCGGACAAAGACAATAAGACAACATTCAGCTTACCTGGGGGTCGCTTACCTTGTGGTCTCCTGCGAGGCTGTAGGCGAATACGCATCTTCGAAATGACGGGGCGATGGTCGGTCCACCCGTCAGCACCCGCGATCGCTTTCGTCACCAGCACATCCCGCTGATCACGCCATCGGACGAGGACACAATCCAGCAGGTGCCACTGACGCGACCGAGGATGCCTCCAGGTGGCCTTCCCTCGCTCCGGAAGACAGAAGAACGTGTTCGTCAGGATGAGGCGGTGTTCTGCGCAGGTGCGGAGGAGAAGCAGGCCGTTGTCGTTGGAGCCGTGGAGACCGTTGGGACCCAGCACTCCTCTCCAGGCAGTATGGTCTGTGCCGACGCGGTCGTTCAAGTCACCAAGGACAGTCAACTTGTCCGCCTTCGAAATGATATTCCATGCATGATATTCCACAGTGCTTCACGATTCACCGTGTCGAAGGCATTCGTGAGGTGCACGAAGGTAGAGTACAGATGAGTCCGCATCTCCTGACACTTCTCCTGAAGTTGACGGGCGGCAAAGACCATATCCGTGGTCCCACGATGACGACGGATGCCCCACTTGCTTTTAGGCAGAAGGCCTTGTTCCAGATGATTATTGAGACGGTTGAGCAGAATGCGAGCGAATATCTTCCCGGCGATGTTCAGCAAGGAAATGCCACGGTGAATGTCGCAGACTTGGCGCATGGCAGCCCTATTCAGGGATGGCGCTGCCAACCCCCACGAGGGGAAGGGCCTAGAAAAGGTGGCCTAACCATCGCTGGGCACCACGCCGTCTTCAGGCAAGCCAGGGCCGCAGTCGTCTAATCATGGTCGAAACAATCGAAATCGAAAAATCAACAATACCAATAACAATAACAACCATACTCATTCTCCCCATCCGAACTCTACTTACTCTTCCTCTGCCTATTCTTCTGCCTATTCTTCTCTTTCGTCACCTTCCTCTCCATTTCCTACCCGTCGCCCCACTCGTTGTCACCAGACTAGCAGGGTTAGTCCGCTCACTCTCGCAGCCTGGAATGTTCGTTCAATTATAGACAACCCGAGGAGCAACCGACCGAAACGGAGGACGGCGCTAGTGGCACGAGAACTGGCGCGCTTCAAGGTGGACATCGCCGCACTCAGAGAGACCCGATTCTCCGAACAATACCAAATGGAGGATGCGGGTGCCGGCTACACCTTCTTCTGGAGTGATCGACCCAGGGCAGAGTGACGTGACGCGGGTGTCGCCTTCGCCATCCGGACCGACATCGTGGGACGACTGCCCTGTTTGCCGCAGGACATCAACGATCGCCTGATGAGCCTCCGTCTGCCCCTCCAGATCGGGGGTAGGGGCAAATTCGCCACCATCATCAGCGCCTACGCTCCGCCGATGAGCAGCCCCGACGCCGCCGCAAGAGACAAATTCTACGAGGACCTGCACGCCCTCCTGGCGACGGTGTCGAAGGCGGACAAGTTGACTGACCTTGGTGACTTCAACGCCCGCGTCGGCACAGACCATACTGCCTGGAGAGGAGTGCTGGGTCCCCACGGTCTCCGCGGCTCCAACGACAACGGCCTGCTGTTGCTCCGCACCTGCGCAGAACACTGCCTCATCCTGACGAACACTTTCTTCTGTCTGTCGGAGCGAGAAAAGGCCACCTGGAGGCATTCTCGGTCGCGTTAAATGCATCTGCTGGACTATGTCCTCGTCCGGAGGCGAGATCAGCGGGACGTGCTGGTGACAAAGGCGATCGCGTGTGCTGATGGGTGGACCGACCATCGCCTCGTCATCTCGAAGATGCGTATTCGCCTACAGCCTCGCAGGCGACCACACGGTAAGCGACCCCCAGGTAAGCTGAATGTTGCCTTGTTGTCTTTGCCTGCTCATCATCTTCATTTCAGCAATGAGTTAGCTAAACGGCTAGACAACCTTCCATTCGCTGCCGCCGACGACGCCGCCGCTACCACTGCCGAGAACGCCTCTGTGGCGAACCGCTGCTGTCAATTGCGAGACACGGTCCAGGCGTCGGCGCTCGCCGTCCTCGGTCTCGCTCCCCGTCAACACTAGGACTGGTTCGACGACAAGGATGCCGCCATCAGAAATATGCTTGCTGAGAAGAGCCGCCTACACAAAGCCTACGTAGATCACCCCACTGATGCCACCAAAGCTGCCTTCTACCCTAGTCGCCGCCAACTGCCCCAACGTCTGCGCGAGATGCAGGACGCCTGGACTGCTCGCAAAGCTGAGGAGATCCAATGCTACGCGGACCGCAACGAATGGAAGAACTTCTTCTCCGCGATCAAAGCTGTCTACGGTCCGCCGACGAAGGACACTGCTCCTCTCCTCAGCGCTGAAGGCAACACTCTCCTGACTGAGCAGACGCAAATCCTGTAGCGATGGGCCGAGCA